GGGCTTGCCTATCGTGATGAAGCAACCGAGCTATACTGGCTGGAACAACCGTTCCTCAAGGTCCTACCATGTCAGACAGGTCGGTTGAAGAGCGGTAAGACTAAAAGCAACAAACCCAAGGTCCGAAGGCGAAGTCGTACTGCTGACTGTACAGAGGTGTGACAGCAGTAAGGTGTTTCCTTCAGACAACCAGCATGACAGCGATGCTGCCTTCCCACAAGGAGGGGTGGGGTTAGAAAAGGTCGACCCTAAAAATGCACACCTCACCTTACCTCACGGATTTCCGTCTCCGGCGGTAAGGCCCTTTGAAGAACGGAGCTAACACGTCAAAAACCTCCCACGAAAAGGCCGTGCGCGACCGGCCTCAAGCAGTTGTCCCTTGGGCACTGCGGTCACGCTCTCAGGTCACTGAGACCGCCACTAATCCAATTTCCTTTTCAGGTACCTCCAGAAGAACCCTTCCACGGTGTGGGCAACCGGGAAGTGATAACCGCCCTCATACCTCTAACAGCACCCAAGACCACTGTATTCATAATCAACCTTCCTCTTCAATTCCTATTATTCCTCCTACATCGACTTTCAACCCTAAACTTCCTCCTTCGGCTTCCTCCTCAAGTGTCACCATAGCCAACGATTCTAGTGCTCAAAACTCTGTCCCAGGTCTACTGAAACCTCGCTCCAAACTACACATTGGAGCTTTCAACGTACGCACCCTATGTCAAATCGGTCAGCAGGCTTCCTTGGCTAAAACCCTAGAGTCTCTTTCCATTGATGTATGCTGTGTCTCCGAAACACGCATACAGGATTCCAGTGTGGTCATTCACTTGACCTCACCTCGGCAAAACGGAGAGCCAACGAGATACACCCTCGTGTATCTGGTGACCCGATGGCCAGTTCTCGTGGACTGGCAGGTGTAGGCATAGCACTAAGCATGAGGGCGGAACAAGCACTGCTAGAGTGGATCCCCGTCAACAGTCGTCTATGTGCTGTTCGGCTAAACGGCTCCGTAAGAACTCGGAAGGATAGGGACACACGTCGTTGCCTTTTCGTCGTTTCTGCCTACGCTCCCACTGACTGCAGCTCAGATGATGTGAAAGATGAATTTTACAGAAAGCTGCCCGAACTTCTTCAGAAAGCTAAACGCTCAGACATAGTACTCGTAGGGGGTGACTTTAATGCTCAGATAGGTAGCTTAAACCAAACAGAAAGGCATTTAGGTGGATATTTTAGCATTCCGGCACAGCGAACAGATAATGGTGACCGTCTGCTGCAACTGTGCTCAGACAATCGCTTATTTTTAGCAAACACAAATTTTAAGCATAAGGAGAGACATCGTCTAACATGGCGACCCCCTACACCAAACCAACGATGGACTCAAATAGACCATATTGCCATCAGTCATCGTTGGAGAGGGTCGGTAGAAGATTGTCGCTCATTCTGGAGTACCTGCTTGGACTCCGACCATGCCCTAATACGGGCACGCATCTGCTTGCGCCTCACTGGACGCAAAAAAGCCACATTAAAAAGACCCATTAGAACTGAACTGAGTAGCGAGAAAACCAAAAGTAGGTTCCAGGAACAACTGAGGTCACACTTAGGTAGTTCTGAAGACGAGGCTGACCCAGATGTTGCTTGGAAAGATATACAAGCAGCTGTGGAAACAGCAGTGACATCTATTAGCGACTTAAACCACAGAGTTACAAAGAACCAGTGGATTTCTTCAAAGTCTATCACACTGATGGATTCTCGCAAACTCGTCCCATCAGGTTCCGAACATGATGAAGAGCGACAACAAATCAGATCTAGGTTAAGAAAAAGTCTAAGAAACGACCGTGAGCAGTGGTGGGCAACGAAAGCAAAAGAGATGGAAAAGGCGGCGACTATAGGGAACACAAGACAGCTTTACAGACTAATAAAAGAAACTGGAATTAATAAGTCAAGTGTAAGTGAGATTATTTCGGAAAAAGACGATACTCTCATCTGCTCCCAGTCCAGACGTTTAGAACGATGGGCGGAACATTTCAGAGAACAGTTCAGCTGGCCTTCAGCTACTCTACAACTACCCTCCATTCCCAGACAGTGTGAATGGAACATTGAAGTAGGTCCCCCAACTCTTGCTGAAGTTCAAAAGGCTATAGTTAATCTGAAACGAGGAAGGGCAGCTGGTCCAGATGGATTGGCTCCAGAGGTCTTTAAGGATGGTGGTCCAATTTTAGCGATTAGGTTGACTAATATTTTAGCTAAAATCTGGGAGTTAGACGTTATTCCATCTAACTGGTCACAATCACTTATCGTCCCAATATATAAGAAAGGCCGTTTCGTCCTGGTATGGGACTCCTCAGCAGTGCGCATCCACGATCCCGCACCACGCGGGGCTCGAACCCAGGACCTACTGGCTTCGCGCGCGAGCACTTAACCACTAGACCACTGAGCCGGCTCGCGCGCGAAGCCAGTAGGTCCTGGGTTCGAGCCCCGCGTGGCGCGGGATCGTGGATGCGCACTGCTGAGGAGTCCCATACCAGGACGAAACGGCCGTCCAGTGCTTCCAGGTTTTCAATGGTGGTCTAGCTTCAACTGACTCATGATTTCAATCCTGTGAAATTTCTAAAACTCTCCACAAAACCCATTCTGATAAGAAAGGGCCAAAATCATCCTGTGACAACCACAGAGGGATTAGTTTAACTAATATAATATCTAAAATACTAGCCTCGATAATTATCAGACGCCTAACTAAGACTCGTGAACTGCAAACACGAGAGAACCAAGCTGGCTTTAGACCTGGTCGTGGCTGCATCGACCACATATTCACCATTCGTCAGATTCTAGAACACAGGCATACTTATCGGCGTCCGACAATGGTGGTCTTTCTCGACTTAAAAGCAGCATTTGACTCCGTAGACCGCGAGATTCTGTGGCAGTGTCTGTCATCGAAAGGCGTACCTCGGAAGTACATAAACCTTGTAAAGGCTCTTTACTGGAACACTACTAGTCGAGTCAGAGCTTATGGCGAACTGTTATCTACTTTTGCAACCTCAAGTGGTGTCCGTCAAGGCTGTCCACTTTCCCCATTTTTGTTTAACTTCATCATAGATCTACTGATGGAAATAACTTTCTCGTCGACTGAGTTCTCGGGTATTGATCTCCTACCAGGAGGTCCACTAATCGACTTAGAATACGCAGATGACATAGTCCTGTTTGGTGAAGACGCTGACAAAATGCAGAGTCTTCTGGTAGCACTGGGCAACAATGCCAGGATGTTTGGAATGCGCTTCTCTCCCTCTAAATGCAAGTTGTTGCTTCAGGACTGGTCTGCGTTAACACCTGAACTAAGGATAGGGAGTGAAGTAATCGAACGTGTTGACAACTTCACTTATCTTGAAAGTCTGATCAGCCCTAATGGGTTGGTATCGGACGAAATCTCAGCACGGATTCGGAAAGCTCGATTGGCTTTTGCCAACTTGCGTCACCTATGGCGAAGGCGAGATATCCGTCTATCAATAAAAGGGAGAGTATACTGCGCGGCAGTCCGTTCTGTTTTAATTTACGGCAGCGAAACATGGCCATTAAGAGTAGAAGACACTCGTAAGCTATTAGTATTTGACCACAGATGCCTTAGAAATATTGCTGGCGTCTGCTGGGATCACCGGGTAAGTAATAGTGAGGTTAGACGCAGGGTATTAGGGAATGATGGTAAATCAGTTGATGAGGTTATGAATCTTCATCGACTGAGATGGTTGGGCCACGTGTTACGTATGCCTGAACACCGATTACCACGACGTGCAATGCTATCCGGTATTGGAAATGGTTGGAAGAAAGTTAGGGTTGGCCAAACCAAAACGTGGCATCAGTGCTTGAAGTTACCAACTTCTAGTCATAGTCATGTTGGTAGATGCAGACTACTTGGTTAGGGTCCGCGTGACTTTCGTAACCAATGGTTGGAGACTCTTGGTGACATGGCTCAGAATCGATCACAATGGCGTCGGTGTATACACTCCCTGTCTTCCCTTAAACTAAGAGATTAAAATCACTTCATATCTTTCTTTCTACGAACCAATTCTTTCTACTTGTACTATATCTCTATATTCAATCTTTCTCTTATATATTACTACCTTTGACCTAACCACTGCTATGAATCCGGTGTTCATCTTGTTGTGCTGATGCGGTATGGCAACCTGGACCGATGCACATATGTGCCTGGTCCTACGTTGTAGCTGACTGACTGACTGATGACATGGCCATGGATCAAAATATGTCATCGGATTGTTACAGTGACTTAATAATATTGATAGACTGTCTTTCATGCAATACACAAGGGATCCACTCATCTTTGGAATGTTATTACGGTTTCGTTTTGTGGAACAAATTATGAAAGCGGTAACACTTTTATTTAAAGTACAGAATAGAAGGAAGCCGATCCAAATCACGTTTTTATCAAAGATCACGTATGATGAGCGGCTAAAATATTTCTGTAGAGAAATATCAAACCTCTTATTGTTTCTATTCTTATTCTTATTCTTATTATTAATCAAATGAGTGAAAAGGAATGTTAATAATGATTGCAGGGTTAATTAAGTTAATTAACTCTAAAAATAGTATACAAATGAGCATGAAAGAGAACTGACAATATGAATAATATTTTAGACTGAGATCATGAATCGAATGATGTTAGACCACCATTGAAAACCTGGAAGCACTGAACGGCTGTTTCGTCCTATTTTGTGACTCTTCAGCAGTGCGCATTCACAATCCCACTCTCGGGATCTCAATCAAAAAGATAATAATCGTCACAACCTCCTGTTAACAATGTCAACAATAATGTTTTACTTCAGCATTAATCCTTGACGTACTGCAGACGAAAAGTATATCGTTCATGAATAGTTTATTAATTAATTCTGATAATTATTAGTATAAAGGTTGTGGGGATTATTAAGTTTTTGATTGAGATCATTTCGTGGATTGGTTGATGTTAGACACATCATTGGATGCTGGCTCAGTGGTTTAGTAGGTGAAACGTTCACGCGCGAGACTGAAGGCGGTGGGTTCGAATCCCGCGAGCGGGATCGACAATAGGACGAAACGGCCGTCTAGTGCTTCGAGGTTTCCAACGGTGGTCTAACATCAATCGCTTCATGATCTCAATCAATTAATTCTGATACAGTTGTTAGTGTTGAAACTGTTGGCGCTGAAAATTCTGGACACATGTGTTTACATGAAATCAATCACAAACAAGGTGGGTTTTGCAAGTTGTACCATATATCCAGAATGTCCAACATATAATCATCAGGGAATATTATTTCTTGAAATCAATCACACCTAATCTAATACCTGATTTATATTTGATAATAATTATATGTGATTTGTTTGGACAACCTATGTTGGGGCAAAACACTTACATATTCAGCATCAACGTATTCATTTATTGTATATGTTTACATCTATTCTGAGTAAATACAATGGCAAACTAAATCGTCATTTCAAACGATATTCCAAAGTAAGTCACATCTGCAACTATTGTGAGGTGGTAGAACGTTCGATAATTTAGAACATGAATTTCTTGAAAATTTGAATGGCTCTTCAACTTGCTTATTAATGTATCGTACATCCACAACTGTCAATGATTGAGGCGTATACATTTTACACTTGGCTTTAGAAACGTGTGATCTTCGTTTATGCGTATATCTTTTGGAGTTTCGGTCTTCGATGATAACATGTAGCATGAAATAAGCTTGTATGATAGACACTCACATATTATTTTATGTGCATGAACTTCCTTCAGCCGAGATGCACTGACTATCGATATTTATTTACTTGCTTGCTTACTTACTTACACGTGTTACTTCTAATGGAGCATAGTCCTCCAACCAGCATTCTCCAACCCACTCTGTCTTGGGCCATCCTTTTCGGTTCTATCCAATTGTTGTTCATTCTTCTCATGTCTGTCTCCATTTCTCGACGTAATGTGTTCTTTGGTCTTCCTCTTTTATTTTGGCCTTGAGGATTCCATGTGAGTGTTTGCCTTGTGACACAGTTGGGTGCTTTCCTCAATGTGTGTCCTATCTACTTCCAGCGTTTCTTCCTGATTTCTTCACCCGTTCGGATCTGATTTGTTCTCTCCCATAGTAGGTTGTTGCTGATAGTGACTATCGATAGGCGTGAAGTTTATTATTTATTTGGCGATTCACAGAGATGTACACATTATATGGGTTCTACAGTACTTCAGAATACAACTAAGTTTGAAAATGTCTTTGGAATATGGAATTCCGGATTATTGGTTTTGACCATCTCCAACAATAATTTAGAGTACAGTAGATAGTTTTACTAAATTGTGTCAGATCATAGTAAAACGTGTGCTATCGTTGGGCAATTATTTTTCACCTAACATTCCTCAGTGTTGATTCAGTTGTGAATTTCTATTGAATTACTTGTTATTTAGTTTTAAGCAAAGAAGATTTGGAAGCCATTTCTGTGCATTTGTAAACAGTGATTGTTTTTGGCACATATAATCTTTTTCTAACTTGTTATTGGGCTTATCGTCGAGATGGTCTCATTTATAATGAGTATGAACCTGTAATATTTTAAAATAAAACAATGGTATTTGCTAATTAGATTAATTGTATCTTTTACGAATATGACCTAAATCATTGTGTGCAGGTAATTAAACAAAGGACTGATTGTATGTAGTTTCATTATTCATAAAATCAATTGATGAATGCTTAATAACAAGCATGTTTAAATTATGAGTAGTGAGAATTCCTGTTGTTTTTCTACACTTGATTTACAATGCAAGAATCCAGCCTGTTGATTTTGAAGTTGGGTCTCTCCTGAGTTTTTCATCTAGTTCAGCAACACTTTGTTGAAAATGTTTCCTGGTACCGATAATGGTATGATTCCTCCATAGTTCACACATTTGCTCAGGTCTCCTTTCTTTGGTATCTTGATGAGATATTCTTCTTTCCAGTCTGTTGAGATTTGTTCCTCCTTGTTAATCTTCCTGAAGAGAACGTGAAGCATGTTTGCAGTTGCTTCTATGTTTGACTTTAATGCTTCCGGTGATGTATTGTCAGGTCCTGCTGCTTTCCCATACATGATTTGTCCGATGGCCATCATGATTTCTCCCATCGCCGGTGGAGTGACGTCTATAAGAAGATCTGTGTGTGCTGCTTTGATGTCCGGTGGGTTCAGTGGAGCTGGTCTATTCAAGAGTCCCTCGAAGTGCTCTACCCATCTGTTCCACTGTCCTTGAATGTCAGTGATTGTCTTGCCTTCTTTGTCCTCGACCGGTCTCTCTGGTTCACCATATTTCCTCATCAGTTTCATCGTTGTGTCATATAGCTGTCTCATATTTCCTTGTCCTATAGCTTTTTCCGCTGTCGTTGCAATCTCTTCAACGTATTTCTGCTTATCAGCGCTGACGCCTTTCTTCACTTGCTTGTTCGCTTCTGTGTGTTCAGCTGGCGCCTTGACTTTTCCTGTTCTTTTTCAACTGTCGCTGAATTACGGTTCGCTTGTTCTTCTCTTCTTGAATCTTGTCCAGAGATTCCATAGGGATCCACTCCTTAGGATGATGCAGCTGGCGACCCAGAACCTCCTGACACGTTGAAGTTAGTGCCTTTTGATCTCTTTCCAGTTGTCCATCATAGTCTGTTTCTCTTCTCTGAGTAGATATTGCAAGGCTTGAAACCTGTTGTTGGGAGATACCATGAATTGGTTGAGTTTGTCAGTATCTCGTAGGTAGGCTGTATTGGACCTTCGTAATGGTGCTTCCGCAGATGTCCAGTGTTTCTTTAGCCTCAGTTTCGCCTTGCACACAACCTGGTGGTGATCTGAGGCTATGTTATCTCCTCTTCTGGTTCTCACGTCTTCTATTGTCCTTCTGAATTTTTCATTGGTACAAATATGACCCATCTGGTTCTCCGTGTTGTAATGCGGTGAGACACATGTAACCTTGTATATGTTGAGGCCTACTGGTGCAGAGGCTGCTGCTACACTAGTTGTCTTCATCTGCACTTGTTCATGTGTATGGGATAGTAGAGCCAGGTCATTTGTGAAGTTCATGCCGTCTAATTGATTCCAAAGTGTGCACTGAGTTCCTTGCTTCATCTCAGACATGGAGGTTTTAATAATCGAGCGATCAGAGTAGTGTTAGCGTTTATTCACAGTGAATGTTTGTTAAGTACATGTTGTTTGAGACGAAATATGATGGTTGATGATTAAGTAGATCTGGTCATAAATGCAGTATCATATCGAATAGTTCATACAATGGTCATATCATCATCATAGTTAATGCGAATATAATTGTTAAAAATTAATTGTATTATACACAAAGTTATTTATCTATTTCATTTCAATTATTCTTCTTCTTGTCTAATTTCTTTACATTACCATAGATAACGTGGTTGCAGTCCAGTCTCCAGACTCCATAAAACCAAGTAAGTCCGTGAAGCAATTACATACAACAAATTACATATAGATTAGCACGTACGTTGATTTCAGATACTTTAATTGTGCAACACCTAATTATGTTTGTGGCAAACAAATTGTTTATCTTCACTAACCAGACTTAGTATGCTGTTATGTCCTTTCTCTAAACATTACGTTTGAGATAATTTAGAAAGATATGTGTACGAGAATTTAGGATGACTTCATATTTGTTTTCTGCAGCACATTTCCATTGGTATTTCTTTAGTTATAGAATGATAGGTCACACTGTTTGGTCGCGTTCAACATGTATCATGAAAGATAAACGATGTATTTCTCCATTAATAACACATAGTCAGAAAAGAGTTGTTATAACAGTCGCAAATCAACAGGTTTGCTGATCCGATTTACCAACAACACTAATGACACACTTTTACTGTTGGATTTTGTTCACCGACGAACACTTCCCTTCGCAAACAGTGAGATTGTTTATTTGGTCGCCTTGCATTGTTCATCATCTCATCAGTTATTATAGTGGAACATATGTGCATGTCACATTCTTTAATTCTCAGCAATTTCAAATATTGTTGAGAGCATACTGAAAGTTCAAATGAGGGCTGGGATAAGACAGTTAAAGACAGGTCACTTCGTCAATCATTTGGAGTTTTCGATGACTTCTGTGAAAATATAAGTGATTCATGTATCGTAAGAATTCACTGACTGAAGGTAGAGAGGAAGATAACTGTTATATGTAGAGCTTGGATTCTTAATATACTGCATACAACTTGAGCATTCAAACGCTGGTGAGAAGGAATTCTATTTCAAACAGTGTCAAGTATGGTACAAATCTATCAGGTATTTATGGCTTTTTAGTAGAACGAAATCATCATTATAGTCATGCAATCCGCGTACAGGTGGTTTAAGCATTTGTACAATGCGGAAGCTACATGTAGAGATTTTGGAATATTCTTCCAAAACATGATTGAATGGAAGATCCTCAGCTGAGCTTCTTTGAGCTTTGAGTTTTGGTATCTCGATATTTACATGTAGTGCGATAGTTACCGAAGAGAATGAAATTCGCTATTTACCCACAATCATTTCACGGTATATCGATAAGAATTGATAAATTTCAGTTACATTTGAAACAACATGAACTGGACTCTCGTCGTTTAACTGCATAGTAGTGTGAATGAAACGGTTTGGTCACTTAGATTAGATCATTCTGTGATTTCAAATGAGTTGTGGATGTGGTGAAGGAATCGGAACCAAAATTGAGTTCTGCTACTCTGTCATGTGATATCGATCACTCACGAAGGCCCAATATATACTAATTTCATCTTCAATATTCTCACTGATCACTTTAAATACATGTGGAGTGGTTTTGTCACATATGAGAATGTTTCGTTATTATTACATTTATCACAACGACTTGGCATGGTGCACGAAATCTTAATGTAAACTCGAAACGTATGACACTAGTTAGCTTGAAATCTCTACTATTTTTAGAGGGAGAGAATTGCATGCTGACACACTGAAAATACGGAGATGCTAATGAATGTTGCACATCCAATTGTTTTATGCCGATATATTGGTACAGAGATCTTCACATTCGTTGCCATTAACTGTACCGCGGAAATAGAAACGCATAATGATTAAGAAGTTTACTTGTACTATGAATGGACTGAGCGTACATCACGTTGAGCCTGAATGAATTTAATCTTGGAACATTTGTTTTCTTACATCAACATAAATTCATTTGTATGAGACTCTCACGCCATCATACTTTTTCAACGCCTTTGAGGATATTTCAGCCGGAAACTGAATAGGCGTATACGCAAGTTGACAGGGAATGTGTGGTCAGGATGGAGTGAAATTAAACGGTGAATGATGGTCTCATTCACATTGGTTTTGACCTTGGTGTAGTCTAGAAAATGTGGCATCGACCAATCGGATAAATTCTATCCTTACACTTGCCAATCACATACGTTTTAATTGTGACTAGAATGACACGTTATCATTGTATTTAAACAGGAATCAGGACGTAAACTGTGTAATTGATTTCAGAAAACTTGGTGAATTACAGTGAGCAAATATGTTTAGATCACAAGTAGCAGTTGTTTGGTTTCTCTTCTTTCTCCTGGTCTGCAATGCAGGTAAGTTTGAAACTTTCTAAATGTGCGTTTCCATCTTTACTTTCATTCATATGACGATGTACTTGACATAAATAATCACTCAGTAATAATGTCGTTAGTCACTATACGGTGATGAACCGTCTTAAATATTTTGATTGACCAGGAAGTCGCCCGTCATTAGTGTGCGTTGACGAGCACTCTTCATATTGTGAAAGATGTTAACACGCATTCGATCTCCATATAGAGCATTGGTTCTCCTACAATCACAATATAATTCACCGTTGAGTATCAATCAGTATGGAATCATACTAAGTTCTGCTTCCTTATGACTAATTCCGAACAACTCACGGGTAGTATAATAAGTCAAATGCCTTGATAGTCTACAGGCTCCAATAAAGCCTTGCCCAAGTCATTGATTGATAAATAAGAATTCATCGTTCGTGCACCGTAAGCATTTTGAAATTTGCTAACATGACGATATTAGAAAGCAATATTGTCCTGACAAAACTGCATGACATTTACCTGTATCACGTGATACAATGTGACTGCAGCATAAGTTGTAATACTTGCCTGTTTGTAATCCTTATCAAAGAACCATAAAGAAAGTATTCGTTCAACACTGTTCTGACTTACTATCAATACGAACGACTGAAGTTTTCAATAGATCTCCATTGGATGATATAAACAGTGGAAGAATGTCCTGATTGAACGCGTAGTGGAAAACTAGAATTTACTTCGTATTTCTCCTTAGTAGAAGTAATGACAGACTTTAAATCTAAACATTTAGTGAAAATTTGAAGTGAAGCTTTCACACAACCGTGATGCTCGAAAACAGATGGTTTCTCGAAAATGATAACTATGAATAATAAACGACGAAATCCTCTGCGAATCGATTATTTATGATTGTTTCTGTCCGTTATAATGAGATGTTTCAAATCCTTAGTTCGAATCATGTGCTGACCCTTGCTAGGCTAACAGTGATGACCAGAGAACACGCAAGAAGTGGTTAGTTCTAGTATGGAAACTCAAAGTAATGAACGACAACTGTTAAACGACAAATTGTACTCGTGAACAGTTCACCAGACTGTGTCGACACCCAGTTTTTCAAATCCTGTACCATAGCCAGTCTACACTGTTATCGCTACGTGGTTTTCAGTGTAACGTGAACAATCTATGTGTACTTCTTGCGCCGATAATAAACTCATGACGAGTTGACGGATGAACCTCCACATAGCGCTGTGAACATATTCGAGTGTCATCAGTCTCGTTGTAGATGAAGTTGTCAGCAGGAGAAATGAATAAATGGCACTCAATGGAAGCATACTGGACCGCACATCACATGAAATAGGATTTGATGTTGTCCAATGCATCATAGGTTTCACAGAAAAACAGACGAGACTCTGTGAATTGTGATAATCACTTGAACTCCTACTTCAATATAAAGGAGTTTGAAGTACAGTAGATCAACAGGATCACCGTAGACGTGTTTAGTCGATTGATCAAGCAAATGTCTATTGATGTGAATATGTGAGTGATGGTATTGCTTTCAAATGAAAGACGAGAATTAGTGATTCCAATAAATTTTGCTCACGATGTCATACGAAATCAAACAGCTCATATTATTCTGAATGATTCTTGATAAACATGCATCTAGTTCGTTCGGTGGTTGGAGTTCATTGTCAGTATTAGCTAAAATCGTTGTTCATGCTGATAGCCACTAGTCAGCAAAGTCTGTCTGAAATTTTGAAGGAAGTGTTGCATTACAGTGTGTTGGACCCCATGTAAAATAGCTCCACAATCTGTGACATCAACAGTGAGCTATTCTTCGACAGCTGGACTCTTGTCTATAGGCGAATTCCTTGTTGACTGAATACTGTTTAGTGGCTAATCCACTCAATGCTAAATGCCGTTAATACCATTATGTAACCGTGGTACTATTCACTACTCACTGACCAATCACTTGTTGTGTCTACTCGTCAGTAAACTGATGAAGCGTTTCTCAATTCATGTGAATGTCTCATCTTCATCATTTCCATTGTTTTTTGTTGACGTCACAGGAGATCAAGAAGTGGCAGCTCAGACTCTTGAGTTTTCAAGTAAAGGTAAGTTATTTGAACGGTAATATCATCTGATGAACTGCGTTTACATCACGTTTCGTATAAAATGGTAATCGAAAGTCGTTCATTTTTGTGTATATTGAATGAAATATGCAGTACAATTTGGTTTGATGTTCAGACGCGACACATTTTGATAATTAGGAATATTTGAAATATAGCACGAACTAAGAATCCCAGAAATAACGAAATTGGATCAAGTAGTAGTATATAAGCACGAAGGAATGTACTGTATTTCGAATTCGAAATCAAACATTCAACAGTTACAAAGGAATCATTAGTTCATTCAAACACCACACACATATTCTTCTCTTACATCCGAACTACAACAAATATCGTCATGCGCTACGGTTTTCATGGTTTCAGTTTGGAAGAAATTGAAGTGACCATCCCAGTTTTGTATGGTTTGATTTATTGTTGATTATTGCTTTAGCTCATTCACTTAGTAACTCCTAATCAGTAATCGTATATTGGATCACCCTGTCTAGACACGTTCAAAATGCTTCATGTACGATTTACGAAAAATCTATCAATCCATTGTGAGCATGGTGGCAGTTGGAAAAACAGTAGTCGAAACTTTCAGCGTCCACTAACCAGTACATTAACAATGCAAATCACACAGTGACACTGACGAATTATTCTGAATGACGTATGATTCCCTCCACAATAGCCGCGCTGACATTTTGAATGACTTTCGTGTTTGAATTGTGCCTGCATCTAATATATTTGAACTCCGGTTTGTTTTAGATATCTTTATAAATACACTATCTGTCCGTGTTAAGGAGTGGGATGAAAAAATTGAAAAAGGTTCAGCAGGAGTATCACTAAAGTTTTTGGATAGTTATTGTGCAAATGTAAGTCTAGAAGCTCTCACTCGAGTTAGAATGATCACTTTCACAAAAACTTCAACGAAATAATCTGACGGATAGTGTTTTCATGTGATTTCTTAAAGGTTGTGGATGTGGTGAAGGAATTGGAACCAAAATTGAGATCTGCTACTCTGTCATGTGATATCGATCACTCACAAAGGCCAAATGATATCCGTGTCGACACTGTTAAGGTTGAACTGGCAGTGTTATCGAGTGAAATGGAAGAAGTATTTTCATCGAAAACGTGGTTCCCATCGTTGAAGAATTCACTTGAATCGGGTAATGTGAATGTGAATAGCGCGTGGATAATTGGTGAGTGAATCACCAATGCATAACAATTTTCTAGTTGATATCCACACTTGATCAATATGTACGGTGTTCAGTTGAGATAACATAGCTTGCAGTTTTCATCATTAAGTAGTAAATATACTGTACTCCATTTCAGATATCGTTTCAGTGAGTGGTAAGTTCACAATAAATTCTGTAGTTTTGTGTATTGTAAAATCTGTTGAAGTCAGTGATACTGAGGAATATTGAACACAATAATCTGTCAATGTGGTGTAGGAATTTAGGAAGTGAATGTTGTGTAATGATTTGTAAATGTGAGTTGTCGAATGAGTGAAAGAGTCAGTCAGTTGTCATCAACCACAAAATAATATTTATTGTGAATTTTAGATCCGACAGCCGTTGGCCGTGGTAAGTTGTCCTATATATGAGGCTGTTGATTTGAATATGGATTTCCTGTTATTTCTTGATGGCCTCAATAGAAGTGTGTGTGAATGTGACAAGATGACATGGGTTGATTGCTTTGTTTGGGACTTTTGTGTGAACTGAATGACGGGTACCAGTCGAAAGTAATATCGGAGATGCAATCGTAGTGAAATTATACAGTTTACTGAATGTGTCCGGGAACGTTCGACTCGTTAAGGCCGTTTTAATTGATCGCCATAATTTGCTCAGTCACACGCTCCTGACTTTGAGATGCTTGAAAATATTCGACACACAAACACACTTGCATTAGATTCACACAGCGGAACCAAGTGATTGATAGGAAATAGTATTCAACTGATATGCTGTGTATTACTCCGCTGCATTTCAGTGATTTTCTCACCATAGACAAGGTCACGTGTTCTTCGGCACGTTGGTTTCGATCTGTTCAGCTCAACAGTGTCCAGATTGCTAATCGTGTTGAGAATTTGATCATAAACTTTGATAACCATTCCTGCACCAGTTTCACCTCCTCGTCACAACGAACGTCACAATGGTTTGGCCGAGTGTGAGATCATCAGTGAATTTAAATAGTCTCTGAACAATCTCACTGTTTTTATCACAGATTCCTCGGTCAACACGAAAATCGATATGTTGTTCAGCTCACAGTACCCACTGAATAGAGTGCTTTGACTAACAAATCGATTAATGAAATATTTTTTTGAGAGTGAATATTCGTTTTACAAACTATATTTAATGAAATTTGTACATTTTAGAATCCTATCTGTTCCAAAAAACCTATTCTACGAGTTTAGTAACTACTGATAAGTGCCGTGAGGTGAGTTTCTATCTGGTCATGCATTATAAAGTTTTCTTGAATCCATTGCATTTCGCGTCGATCGATCAAGTAGCAGTCGCGTGTTGATTTAAAGAGTTTACAGATTTCGGTTGATTGCATTAGTTTTGATATCTTCGTACCGTTAATCCCACAATTTCAACGAGAAGTCCGTCGATATTCGTTTCGATGACATTTGTTGATGAATATATTAATTTCTTGATATTCTGTAGACCTGAATGTCAACCATCAATGTTATGTGACTTTCGTGTCATTTGTTATCTGCTTTCATCAGAATTTATATAAAAACAACTTCATAGAATAATGAGATCAAGTTCCCACAAGGTTCTTATATGACACATACCGACGAGTACACAATACTTAATTGTTTAGAAAAGATATTGTTTCAGTAGATTACAGGATAAATATTTATGCCATAAAACACTGTCTCAATATTTTGATTTCAGCTGAAGATCATTATGTCGAATATATATACTGGATTCGGTGAAACAATGACGAACTGCTCCTTCGATGTGTTGACAGGAGATATAAGCACGACGATGGACTACCGAGAACTTATGAAGAAAGGGTATTGCTGTTCAGAGCATAATGTATATAGAAGAATTTACTGGTCTATTTATGAATTACTATATGAGGGTGAAAGCGGTGAGTAATTCTGCAAAACAGGTGAAGAATACAAAATTATTATCGAAAAATGTTTAAGGAAAGTGTACGCAAGTGTCGCTGAAAAATGTCGCGACAGATTAAAAAATAATGCAGACGAGAGCAAACACACAAGCACACACGCACATAAATGCACTCAAGCATTAGTACACAAGAACATAAGGCGATCAGTGAATGAAATTTCAGACATCAGTACCAGACTGTTTCATTGTCCCATTGAACTTACTCTGTCGGTTTGTTTCTTGATGCATTCCTGTTATTTAGGTGAGAATACGATCAAACCGCCCAAAATAACTCAACCCGAAATAACCATTGACAAGAAAAATACTACTTTCGGTAAGTTTGCTCAACTAACGGTTTCTCTCTCTCTCTCTGGTTTGCAAATTAAGGAGCTTGAGACATATCAACTTTTGTATTTATATGGTTAGTGAATGACTATTCAGTCATCGGTTTTATTCTGTTTCACTGTCTCACTGAACTTACTCTGTTGATTTGTTTCTCGATGTCTACTTGTCATCCAGTTGGGAATTGCCATTTTTGTATACTCATCGTATAAGTCGCAAACAAAGACGCCTATCACTCGACACTCGATAGTGAAACCACGTCGAGCTCAACGAAATTCAATTACACGGTTTAATAAAAATCAGGCACACGATTGACCAGCACATGCAGTCACCTTCACTTGTAGTGTGTATGACTTGTGCTACACATCGATAGAACATAAAATGATACAGAGCAGTGGTGAAATTCCATTGATCTCACATATTCTTGGTACTGGATATACTTCGACCACAGATACCATCAAGTTCCACACAACGAATTATATTGTCACTCGACAAGAACACGAATCTTCTCTTTTATGTTTACTAGTGAAAAAGTCAACCACAGTTCGTGATACGACCTTCATGACTATAAATACTTGTAGAAGTGCTGTTATTAAGGTGAATTTCTGTTGACCTTGAATCTGTCATTGCCTGTTTCCTCCTCTTGATTTCATCTCCTTTTGATCTGATTATTTATTTTATATTTGTTTATGATCTTTCTGATTGATTGGTTGACAGATCGGACCTAGTTCACTGTGTTTGTCGATAGCTGATTCACCTGAGTGCTAAGCTTCTAAAAATTCTCTGGTGCTAATAGCAATCCCTCTATCCAAGATCTCAACATTTTTCTAGTCGAATGTGTGACCATAGTTGTCTAAATTCATTGATATAAGCGAGGATATATCATGGCGTCTGACCGCCAATCGATGTTCGTGTAGGTCAAGATGAAGATAGTATCCACTTTGTTCGATGTATCGGTCATTGTAGCTGGAACAACTTATTTTGCAGATGATGTTGGGTTTTACTTCTCTCACGGTTTCGTCCTTTTGTTTGCATAGAATTGATTGAAGTGACTTTGCTGGGTTGTGTGCAAACCAAATCCAAACGGCTCCGACAACCTCGTTGTGATTTACTGTGTGTAGTTCATATGTGTTAGGACGATTCGGTTGTTGGATTCTGTGCTTGATTTTGTTTCTGCCGACACATTTGGTTGCTAGTTTTGATGCAGTTGACCGGATAGCTGCTCTTTTGATGAGAATATTCTTCAGATATTTTCCTTCATCTGTCGCGCCACAAGTGTGTTGCAGTGCGTCCCCACCCTCTTGAATAAAGTTTGTGCGCAGTTGAATTTGTGAGTTCATGGGTTGTTTCTACTGTAATTGGTCTTGGTCGGCTTACGATTTACTTGAATTTCCAGTTTCACTGAGTCAGTTCTGTTGATCAGAACATTCATGTGTGATCGTTTGTTGTTCGACCCCATTTTCATTATGGTGTGCATGCCATCAAATATGTTGTTGATCAGATTATATGTGTTTTACAACTCGTACTTTTCGACGATGACCAACTTGTCGTTCACATAATAAATCCAAAGCTTTGATTTGTTCGCTGGCAACATTGAGTTTATGCATCACTGCTAATTATGAGTGTACTTAATCTTACCTAGGAGTTGTATAGGACTTTTGATGAAGTGAATGGATGAAACCACTGTATGTTTCACTTCACGTCAAGTGTCGCTGAAAGATGTCGCGACAGATGAAAATAATGTAGACGAGTATAGGCACAAAAGCAAACACGCATACAAATGCACTCAGGCATTAGTACACAAGAACATAAGGCGACCAGTGAATGAAATTTCAGACATCTGTTCTAGACCATTTCATTACTCTGTCGGTTTATTTCTCGATGTCTTCCTGTAATTTAGATGGAAAAACGACCATACAGAGCGAAATATCTCAACCTGGAACAACGACTGATAAAGAAGAAACGTCTCTCGGTATGTTTGCACAATTGATGATTTCTATCTCTCCCTGATTAGTAAATCAACGGTCTTGAGACATGTCACTTTTGATCTTCATATGCTGGTGATCATTGTTTACAGCATCATTTTTCCACAATTTTGTTTCACTTTTCTGATTCATTGTGCTTGTTCGTAACACCTGTTCTTTATGCTCCACTTAATCGTTCTACGATATTTCTTCACATTATATAGTCGTGATCTTAAACCGTTCAATTTCCTGCTCTCACCTACTTACAGTTTTTTCATCAAAATTATTTCCAAGGTTTGCCGTCAATCATACGAATCTCTGAATTAGAAAACTTGAAAGTGAACTATACAGGTAACATTAAAAATTGATCATACTGGAATAACTTCTTTGCATTTTATCACGAATATATTCGAGCACATTTTTCTACTTGCGATTTGTCAGTTGTCTGTATCATGATTAAGATTATGTGGATGTAGTGCACACATGTTGCACATATGCAACAACACTAATGTGATCTCAGCAAGACTATCAAAAACGGGATTATTCTTCTCAATGATATCATTTGTACAAATCCGAGGTATTAACGAACCTGACATTATCTGTTTCCTTATTTTGATTGTATCTCGCTTCGACCTAATTCTTGGTTCTATTTTCGCAGATGAATATTTCGATTGATTGAAAGTCTGTAATGATTTCGATGTGTTTGTTAATTGCTGATTTAGTTAGGTGTCAAGCTACGGAAAGATCCTATGGTGTACGTAGTATCCTTTCTATCAAGGATTTCAATATCTTTCCAGTCAAACGAGTATTCACAAATGTTCTTATGCAATGATCCAAACGAAGATTTATCATAACGTTTTACTGTTAATTGACGTTCATGAGGACAAACATCAAGGAGTCATCAACGTTGTTCTATATTGAGATTTTTGTCATTAGAACGGTCTATTTAGTAAATGACTTTTGGTTGTTTGCTACAGTCGTTTCGTACTGTGGTTTCCCAACGATTGCTAATAGTGTAATTGCTGGCACTTCAACTACATCTATCAGCTGTCATACGA